GGTAGTGGATCTCTCATCAGAAGTCACGGAGGCCAGAAGAAAGTGACATGACAGTTTTTTAATAGAAAGAACTATTATCTGAGATTTCTAATCCAAAGAAAATATTCTACAGGAATGAAAGATACATCGAGACATCTTCAGATGAAGAAGAAAAAAGAGAACAGTTTGCTCACAGACTCACTGTAAGAATTTCTCAAGGAACCTTTTTCTACAGAGAAAGGAGATTTTAAAAAAAGGGAGCATGGACTTCAGGAAGGGAGAGAGAACACAGTAAGAAGATATGGGTAAACGCAGTAGACCTTTCTTCTCCTCTTGAGTTTTCCAAATTATGTTTGACAGTTTAAGCAGAAAAAAGTATAAAGTACTTATGTTTACTCCTTGCAAGCTCAAAATCATTTGAGATTATAAATTTTCAAAATCCTCAGCAGGACCAGCTATATAATCTTCAGTGCCCAGTACAAAATTAAAAGGCAAAGTCCCATTTCCTCAAAAAGCTAAATATAGTATTACCATATGACCTAGCATTTGCACTCCCAGATATATAACCAGAAGAATTGAAAGTGGGGACTCAAATAGGTACTTATATTTCAGCATGCATTGCCACTTTATTCACAGTAGCTATAAGGTAGAAATAACCCAAGTATCCATCGACAGGTGAATAAACAAAACATGGTATACACACATATGATGAAATACTATTCAGTTATAAAAAGGAATGAAGATCTGATACATGCTACAACATATATGAATCTTGCAGACACTATTTTAAGTGAAATAAGCCAGGACAAACATCTGATGATTCCCCTTATGAGAAATATCTAGAATAGGCAAATTCACAGAGGCAGGAAGTAGAATAAAGTTTACCATGGGCTGGTGGGGGAGTGGGAGTGGGAAGTTATTGCTTAATGGATGCAGAGTTTCTGTTTGGGGTGATGAAATGGTTTTGGAAACAGACAGTGGTGAGAGTTACACAATATTGTGAATGTAATTAATCCAATGAACTGTGCACTTAAAAATGGTTAAAATGTCAAGTTTCATGTCGGATGTCTTTTACCATAATTAATGATAATGTCATTATCAAAACTACTGAAATTTCCCAAAACTACTGAATTCGTTTTAAATGGGCTAATTGTATAGTATGAGAGGAAGGGACCTGGGAAAGAAAGAAGAGGGGAAAGCATTGACTTCTGGGGAGGCAAACTGAATGGCTGTAAGACGTAAGAGATTTTCCACTCTATTGTATATCCTTTTGTACCTTTTTAATTTTATACTGTTTCATGTTTCACATTTTTATAAAAATAAGTTACATATTTTTGAAATAAAAACATGCAAAGTCCTGTGTTCAGAAATGATTAAGAATTTAAAGATGCCAATAGCAGAGCTGGAGATCATGCCTGGGGTCCTTCTAAGGCCCTGATGAGTGGCTCTGAGGCCCCTTGCCTCTCTATTTTGCTAAAGAATACATTTCCAGAGATCATAAATTTAAGGTACTTCAAAACTACCAGTAGATATTTTATTTATATCCCTTTCCTACCACTGTGCCCACTGGGGCAAGAGAATGGAGCAGATTGGGATGCTTGACCACAGCTGGAACTGGGTCACCTCTGCTGCCTCAGCCCCTTCAATGCCACCACAGAGCAGTTCTAAGGAGCAGTGCAGAGGAGAGCTTTCCCTGGGCGGACCTCTAAGTAACAGAGCACATGCTGAGGGCCCATGGTGAGGCCCACAGAGTGCTCAAAAATCTTTTCCTGCATTATCTAATTCAGACCTCACCTCTGCTTCCTTTCAGGTGAGAAAGCTGAGGCTCAGGATTACACAGGATGGGAACCTACATCAGATCTCCGTGGGAAGCTGACCCAGGCAGAGTGATGGGTGCATACATTTTCTGGGATCCTAACTTCAGGATCCTGCAAAGGACTTGTCCCATCTAGAAGTAACAGGGCCTCCCGCAATGGATTTGTCCCATCTAGCAGACCCTTAAGGCCCTAAATTATCAGATCTTCCCATTCTACAAGAGATGCAAGAAAGTCACTTTTTCTGTTTTTAATTTTTTTGGTTACTAGGGATTGAACCCAGGGGCACTCAACAACTGAGCCACATTCACAGCCCCCTTTATTTATTTATATGTTTTGGTACCAGGGATTGAACCTAGGGGTGCTCAACCACTGAGCCATAATACCAGTCCTTTTTCTTTTTTGAGACAGGGTCTTGCTAAGTTGCTGAGGGCCTTACTAAACTGCTGAGGCTAGTTTTGAATTGGTGATCCTCCTGCCTCAACCTCTAGAGACTCTGGGATTACAGGCATGCACCACCATGCCCCGAAAAAAGTCACATTTTTATGGGGGATCTGTACAAGGTTTTTCAGTGTGGGCTTACATTGAAATAAATACTGCTGAGGCCCTGCGCAGCGCACAGGCCACAGGTGGTGGTTTCTTTGTGGCCTGCCCTGTCTCTCTAGCCTCCTTGGAGCACCCATGACCACAATGGAGATGCCTCCATAGGGACACTGGTTTGTGTGTGGAATCCAGGAAGGCATGAAGGGAGGTGTCCTGCCCCACTTCCAGCTGCAGGGTGCTGCCTGCCTCCCACTGACCCTTCTCACTTTGTGATGGTAAGCAGTGTGGCTTTGGATGTGACATCCCAGATCTTGATGGACCTATCCAACGAGACAGAAGCCAGCTTCTGGCTGTCAGGGTCAAAGCAGCATGCCATGATTGATCTTCTGTGATGATCTGCGGCACAGGAAGAGTGACTTGTCACCATGAGGTCCACATACTGGGTTACATGCTTTATATGGTCTAGAGGACTCACAAGACTCCCCCCGCCCCCAGCAACTTTATGGAAACACACTTCTAGTTTTCTTAAGGGACAATTCAGCCTTCCAGACCTTTCCTGAATGTCTACTATGTGCAAAGCTTTGAACAGTGAGACTAGTTGGTCGACTCTTGCTGCCCTCACAGAGCTCTCAATCTGATAGGAACTTCCTGCTACATGCTGAGGATCTTGAGAGCAGTACACAGTACATCACAGCTCCTGGCCACAAGAGATCAAAAGGGATTGATCCCCTCCAGGGATCAAAAAGGGTCCTAAAAGTCATCAAGGGAAGCAGGAAAGGACGAGTGCTCCAGACAGAAGGAACAACACATGCAAAGGCCTGAAGAGTGGGACGCATGGGAAAGTGAGGTGCCCAGTTAGAACCTGGAGTGTGAGGAAGCTGGGCGGGATGGCGCATGCCTGTGAATCCAGCAGCTGTGGAGGCTGAGACAGGAGAACCACAAGTTCAAGGTTAACCTCAACAACTTAGTGAGACCCTGCCTCAAAATAAAAAATAAAAATGACTGGGATATAGCTCAGTGGTAAAACACACTGCGTTCAATCCCTACCACCACAATACCTAATAAAAAGGAAGCATAAGGAAAAGACAGAATGTAAAGTGATTCATGAAGGGAAAAATACAATCTGCGGGGTGGCACACATATCATGGTAACATGACGATAAAAATAAATAAAAATAAACATAAAGGACCTATGGGAAGTAGATACACATACCCCTCCCAACACACACATGTTCAGGAAAACTACTTGGCAATGTATTGCTATTAATAGATCACTGTGGGCTAGGGTGTGGTTCAGTGGTACAGTGCTTGTCTAGCATGTGTATAGCCCTGGGTTCCATTCCCAGCACCACAGAAAATAGTGATAATAATAATAGGTTATATTATTGTTATATAATACATAATCATAATATGGATTATTATATAGTAATAGATAATCTGGGGAAGAGATAAGACAGGTGAAGCCACCTTTTATCTTTTATTTTACACGCTGAATTTGTTTTTACAATGATCATATATTTTTTAACTTTTTATTTTGAAATAACTGCAAATCTCCTTCTAGGCACAAGGAATAACAGAGAAATCCTTGTATGCCCTTCACCCAACTTACCCCCACACTTATACCTTACGTCACCATATTACAGTGTCACATCCAGGAAATTGACACACAGTGATGATTTTTTTTTAATTTTTATTTTTAGTTGTAGATGGAACATTATCTTTATTTTTATTTGTTTATTCTTATGTGGTGCTGGGGGCCAAACCCAGGGCCTCACGCATGTGAGGCAAGAGCTCTACTACTGAGCTACAACCCCAGCCCTGATGATTATTTTTAAATTGTAAAAATACAGGTGGAAATGTTAAGAAAGTCAAGCCTCCACTCAATAAAAAGTTAGACTTTCAATGTCCATGTGAGGTTGAGCAAAATGTTTCATTTGCTACAAGCATGAGACAGAAGGGAAAGCATTTATTAAAGACTTGGTTTTAACCGCTTTTCTTAGTGGGCATCCCACTTTGCTTATATGGCTTTTTTCATAATACTTCTGCCAAATAAACCACTGGAAAGTCACTACCCGTCAAGTGACAAGCAATTGTTCCTGTAACAGACAGAATGAGCAGGGAGCTGTGCAACCTCACCTTTAATGTTTGCCAAAATGGTGGTGTTTTCCGCATCCATTATGCAGATTCCATGATCCACATCCAAGCTTAAGGCCACATATTTGCCGTTAGGAGATAACTTACAGGACACTATGAAGTAATCATGGTTGGTCTGCCACTGAAAAGAAGAACAACTGAAAAGTTGTTTTCCCTTTCTCTCTGACCCAGGTCTGCCCAGTAGAACTTTCTGTGATGATGGACTGTTCTGTCTTTGAACCATCCAACATGGCAGCCACTGGCCACATATGGTCACTGAGTACTTCTAATGGGCTAGTGAGAAGAAAAGAACTGAATGTTTAAGTTTGCCTTTAATTCATTAAATCAATAATATCTGTGTCCAGGAGGGACACAGAGAATACCTAGAGATATGGCAGTAAGGTTGTAGCAATGGCAACTTTCTTCCTATTCAGTTGAGTAAACAAGACTTTACTAAATGTCTGCCCTATACACAGACAAGACCAAAACAAAAAACAAACAAACAAAAAAACCTAGCCCTCCCCAACCCTACACCCAAGGGCAAGAAGGGGACAATGAATGGACTGCTCAACAATGTAGGTAAGGAGGATCTCTCTATACACCATAAATTATAGTATTGTTATTGTGATGGCTTTAGAATTTTCCTCAAACTCTTCATCAGTCCTCCCTCCAACAGGTGGAATAAAAGAGCCCTCCTCGTGAATGTTGCTTCTAAACAGTAAAATGTGGCAGAAAGGACAATGTGGTATTAGGTTATAAAAAAAATCAAGGGACTGGGGTATAGCTCAGTGGTAGAGCAATGTTTGGCTTTTTCAAAGGCCTGGGTTTAATCCCCTAAAATTAAAAATAAAAATGAAAAAAAAATCATGGCTTGCTCCTTGTTCTTTCTTGGCTCATGTACTCTGTGGGAGTTAACTGTCATGTCCATATGTCTCCCTGGGGGTCCTCATTGAGATGAACTGAGGCCTCCTGCCAACAGCCATGTGAGTGAGCCATCTTGGAAAGAGTCCCTTTGGCCCCAGTGGAGCCTTAAAATGACTGTAGCCCCACGAGACATCTCTACTGTGACTTTACAAAATACCTGAGCCAGAACCACCCAGTTAAGCTGCTCCTAGATTTCCAACTGTTTGAAGCTATGTGAGATATAAATGTTGCTGTTCAAAGCTGCTAAGTTTCAGAGTCATTTATCAAGCTGCAGTAGATAACTAGTTGAGCTTCACTGTTGGCAAAAGGCATGGATGACTTGTGCAACAAAAATAAATAGAAGTACTTTTAAAGAAGAAAGAGAAAAGCACTTCAAGTAGGAAAACTGGCTAACGACAAGAATAATAGGAAACTTACAACAGAAGAAATAAACATGTAGGAAAATATTCAAAGTAAAGAAAAATCAGTGCAAGTCTTGCTTTTCAGCTATCATATGGACTAGAATTTTGTTTAAATCATGATATCTAGCATGTGAGAGTAGGAGATGGTGTATTCCTCTTGAGCACCTAGGGTATGAGTTGGTATAAATTTCTCAAAGGCATTTTTTACAACTCTATGCTTTTTAAATTAGCAATGACTGCTGGGTGCAGTGGCACATGCCAGCAATTCCAGCAACTTGGGAGGCTGAGGCAGGAAGTTTGCAAGTTCAAGGCCAGGATGAGGCTGGAAGATCACAAGTTGTTGGAGGCCAGGCCCAGCACCTTGGTGAGACCCTAATCAACTTGGTGAGACTCTGTCTCTAAATAAAAAAATATTGGGGAAAAAAAAAAAAGGTTGGGGATGTGACAGTGGTTAAGTGGGTTCAATCCCCAGTACCAAAAAAAAAAAAAAAAAACCCAACAACAACAAAATTAGCAACAAAATCTAGTTATATACCCTAAAACTGGAACATGGCTGGGCACACTCACACATGCCTATAATCCCAGCAACTCAGGAGGCTGAGGCAGGAGGATTGCAAGTTTGAGGCCAGCCTCAGCAACTTAGTGACCCCTGTCTCAAAATAAATTAAAAAGGCTTGGGATTATGGGGCTGGGGTTGTGGCTCAGTGGTAGAGTGCTTGCCTAGCATGCATGAGGCACTGGGTTCAATCCTCAGCACCACATAAAAATAAAGAAATAAAGTACTATGTCCAACTACAACTAAAAAATAAATATTGAAAAAAAAAAGGCTTGGGCTATAGCTGAGTAGTAAAACACCGCTGGGTTCATTCCCTAGTACAAAAAAAAAAAAAGTTGTTTTTTTAAGGAGTGGAGAGAAGACAAAAGAAGAGGGGAGGCCATAAGTTATTGCTGAAAGTAGAACAGAAGAGCTGGGAACAGAGAAGTTCCCTAGTAGGCCCCTGAGCAGGACTGAGGTTGCCCAGGCATGGACAGGAAAGGGTGAGAAAGGGTAGATCTCAGGCCTATTTGGTGGGTAGATAGTAGCCCCCTCTAAGACAGAAAGAGAACAGATTGGGAAAGGCACAAAGTTATGATTCTTTGGCCACAATGGCCTGTGTCCCATGGCCTCAGCCCCACTTCCTGTCTCATCAAATTCAAATAGCCCACAGGGGACCCTGAATACCATGCCCAACCCCAACCCAGCCTCTTTCTGTGTAGCCAAACCCTTCCCATCTTTCAAACAGAAGCCCTTGATCTGCCTGTTACACCCCCTCCACCATCTACATCTTCCAAACTTTGCAAGCGATGACCACCATAGAGTGTTGTATACATCTACATCTTAGTCCCCAAGAAAACTCTCCATTCCTGGAAAACTGGGTTTTTATCATCACTCCTAATTCAAAGTCCAGCCCAAAGCTACAAGGCCCAGTCAAGATCCTGGGCCATGGGGGCAGGATATACATACCAGCAGCTGGCCTGTTTCAAGGTCCCAAGTCCTCACTGTTTTGTCATAAGATGCTGCAATAATTCTAGAAATAAAATGACAAACATTGGGCCTTAACCACAGAGACAATCAGGCCTGTGGTTTCTACGAGGACTTTTTCTTCTTTTTATAATTTAGGACCAAGATTGCAAATAATACAAGAATCTTTCAAAAGATGCTCCATGAGCCCCACTGGGGAGTAGTGTGTTCCCATTCAAAACAGAGACAATCTAATATTACCAATTATCTTCTGTACTCCTTCAACCAGCCAGATACGTTCTTTTATATTTAAGGCTTTAAAAGTAGCATTTCTTCTGTTCTGTAATTTACAACATCCTTCTAAGAAGATCTTTATAATTCATAAGGACCACTCACTTCCCTCTCTGCTCATGTCTTTTTACAGGAAAACGCATTCATAGACAGCTGACTTTGTTTTGAAATATTTTATTGTACATTTAGCTAAAAACAAATGTACTTTTGTCTCCTTATATTCCACATTTCTGTGGCAAAGTTTGTCTCTATAAAATCCTGTGAAACGTAAATCCCATTCTAATTATTTTATTAGTATACCAGTTTCAGAGCTGCTACTCAGGATAAAATCTAAGCCATTTTAAAGCAAGTATTCTTGACTGTTAAAGGCCCACCTCCCATTTCTCACATCCATGTGAATAGATTTACGCAAACACATCCCTGAAGCTTTCCTCTTGTGAACCACTGCTTCCTATCCCTGACCCTTCCCAGATGACAGCTCATGCTTTCCTAGGCCGTTTTTCCCCTAAAAAAATAAGAGCCTCAACTAGATTGCTAAGGCCCCTTGCAGCTGCCACAGTCTCCATGTGACTACAGGGCCAGACAGGTTTAATGACTCACTGAACTCCTTCAGAGTCATATTCACAGCTGAGAGTTATTATAGTGACAATCACAAAAGCCAAACCAGCAAAGAGAAAGGAGCTTAGGGTGTCGTCCAGAGAAGACAGTCTAGGTTTCCATGCAGAAAATTCAGAATGGCTTAACCACAATAAATGTTCTCTTTTAAGTGCTTTAAGTTTTCAATGTGCTGTCACATCCACTTGATTTCTCACAACAAAAGAGTAGATACCCTGAGCCCCAATAAGGGAACATAGTTGTGTATTTGCTTTAAAAATTTTTAAAACAAAACACTGTCACTGTCACGTCTGTACAGTGGGCTGCCGGCTGCCTCTCACTTTTCCTGCCCAGGGTAAACAAGAGGAAAGGTTACCTTCTGCTGTCAGCTGTGATGCTGCACTCCGTAACAGGAGCTGAGGGCCCTTCCTCAAAATCCCGAATCACAGATCCATCAATGGCATCCTCAAATCAGCAGGAGAGAGAGGAGAGAGAGTGGTCACAGCTATATTTGCTGAAGTCATGGACTGAGGTCAACAGCAGCCTTTAGCTTTCCCACTGGTCTCTATGACTCTCACTCTGTTCCAAAGATCAAAAGGACTTTCCAACACCTCCCTGATCCTGAGCAGAAAGGATGCCCTTGCCTTGCACCGCATCCCCTAATACTCCCCTATTGCTCCACACACACCAGATGGGCACTGGCCACTCTTGAAGCAGAACTGCAAACAGATAATATTCTCATTATTTACTGGCTAAAAGGCTTTGCAGAATCTAGCAATATCTTTCTTTTTTTTTTTCTTTTTTTTTTAAAGAGAGAGAGAAAAATTTTTTAATGTTTATTTTTTAGTTTTTGGCGGATACAACATCTTTGTTTGTATGTGGTGCTGA